TCACCACCGGGCCTCCACATTTTCACAGCACTAGACCCAGGCATGGTATTGATCTGTGAGAGACACTGGAAGCCTTGTGAGAGGTGGCAGAGAACCTGGCCGTCCCGGCATACCAAGAGCGATGGGTAGCAGCTGCTGGTGGGCTCAGTTGTCCTGGGTCTAAGGAAGTCAGGAAACCCACTAGGAGGGTCAGGACCTACAGAAATGTCTGTGGTGGCCACAGAAGAAGGAGTACTAGAGGACACGATTTGACCTTCCTTAGATTGAGTACAGCACACTCTAGACAACAAGAGATGACACTGTGGATTCTGTCTGTAAAGGATCGGGACTCCCACATGGGATCAATGTGGCTTCTGTTGTGATGTCTAGAACAACGTCTTCTATTCAGAGCAGGCACGGGTTCAGGCGTGACAGGCTGTTCCAGGTCACCCCTCTCCAGTCACCTCTCTTTGACTTTCCTTGGAGGCAAGCCAAGTTTGGCAAGTCCTGGGGAATCTACTTTCTACGGTGACCTGAGTGGGTGTTTTGGCATCCAAGATATTCAGTCTCCCCGCTAACTAGAGAGAATCTCACAGGTCTTCTCTATGGCAGAGGCACGGATCCTGACACCTCTGGTGACCGCTTTGAGTTTTCTCTTTAAATTGAGAGAAAATCAGTAGGCAGAGGCAGGAGGGTTGACCCATGTTCCTCAAACTCAGTGAATTCCAGGCTAGCCTGGATTAGAGTGAGACTCTGTCCCCCAAAGACCTCCCCAAAAGAACAAAAAATGAAATAAATTGAAAAAAGGAAAGAAAGGCAGGCTAAGTTTGAGAAACCTGATTCTGAGCTGTAGTTATGTTCAAATGGGGAAAAACTGTGACAAGAAGGAGGAACCTGGAGGGAACAAGGCAAACAAAATGAATAAAAGCTGCGGAGGGCCAGGGAGGTCATAAGCTCTCAGCATCTGCTTCCCTCCAAAGCCCTTGGCCATAGCTGGGATGCTGACAGTAGAAATGGCATACCGATTTAGATGAATCTGTTGGGTATGGATGTATGTAGGTGTGCGTGGGGGGAGTAACCAAACAGTTTAAAGCAAAGCTTTACATTTTCCTTTGTGTGTGTGGTATATCCATGCATGTGTGTGACTATGCATGTGGAATGAGTACAGAGGTTGTTTTGGGGTATCTTCATTCATCTCACGCTCCACTTTTTTTTTTTTGAGATATAGTCTTAGTTTGCTTTTTATTGGTGTAATATGGCGATATATTGTGTACCCCAATAAAGCTTACCTGGGGATCAGAGGACAGAGCCACCCACTAAATTAGACACAGAAGTCAGGCAGTGGTGGCACACACCTTTATAATCACTTGGGAGGCAGAGATCCATATGGATCTCTGAGTTCAAGGCCACACTGGGCTACTTGAGAGAAACAGAACCAGGCAGTGGTGACACATGCCTTTAATCCCAGGAAGTAATATGGCAGGACACAGAAAGGTATATAAGGCATGAGGAAACAGGAACTCGCTCTCTTGAGGTTGAGGATTTTATAGCGATAAGCTAGTGACTGACTGTTCTGCTTCTCTGATCTTTCAGCTTTTACCCCAATATCTGACTCCGGGTTTTTTTTTTTTTTTTTTATTAATAAGACCATTTAGCAATTCGTGTTACATCGTATTAAAATGCTATGAATAAACCAATTTGTGGAAGAAAGTGTTTATTTTATCTTACAACCCCTAGGTTACAGTCAATCACTGGGGGAAATCAGGGCAGGAACACAAGCAGGGCAGGAACCTGGAGGCGGAAACTGAAGAGGAGCCAGGGAGGAATGCTGCTTCCTGGCTTGCTCAGCCTGCTTTCCTGTACATCTTAGGACCACCTGTCCAGGGGTGGCACTGTCCACAGTGGGTCAGACCCTCACACATCAATTACAGATTAAGAAACTGCCCCACAGGCTTGCCAATAGGCCAGTATGATGGAGACCTTTTCTCAGTTGAGGTTTTCTCTTCCCAGATGACTCATACTTTTGTCAAGATGCCAAACAACAACAACAAAATCTAACCAGCACACTCACTGAATCTAGAACTCAATGTTTCTGCTAGTCTGGCTGGCCAGAGAACACCAGGATCCTCCTGTCGATCACCCAAGAGCTGGGGCTAGAGGAACGTGCAATCACGCCTGGCTTTCACAGGGTGCTGACGCTCTGAACTCAGGTTGTCATGCTTGCCCAACAAGCACTTCACCACTGAGCCATCTCCCTAGATTGGTGATTCTTAACCTTTCTAATGCTGTGACCCTTTGATATAGTTCCCCCAACCATAAAACTATTTCATTGCTACTTCATGACTATAATTTTGCTACTGTTATGATTGTTATGAATTGTAACATAAACACCTGATATACAGAATATCTAATATGCCACCCCAAAGGGGTTTCAACCCACAGGTTGAGAATCACTTCTAGGTCCTTTTTTTTTTAAAAAACTGAGATAGTCTCTCTCTCTCTGTCTCTCTGTCTCTGTCTCTCTCTCTCTCTTTCTCTCTCTCTCTCTCTCTCTGTCTCTCTCTCTGTCTCTCTCTCTGTCTCTGTCTCTCTCTGTCTCTCTGTCTCTCTGTCTCTGTCTCTCTCTCTCTCTCTCTCTCTCTCTCTCTGTCTCTCTCTTTCTCTTGATTTTTTGAGACAAGGTTTCTCTCTGTGTAGCCCTGACTGTTCTGGAACTCACTCTGTAGACCAGGCTGGCCTCTAACTCAGTGATATGCCTGCCTCTGCCTTCTGAGTACTGGGATTGCAGACATGACCCACCATCGCCTGCCGAGATAGTGTCTCTTCGCATAACCCAGGCTGGCACTGAACTGGAACTCCAAGCTCCCTCAGCCTCCTGAGTGCTGATGTTACAGGTGTGTGTCACCATGCCTGGTTGCAAAGTTTTCAAAGTGTAATGTACACAATTTCATTTCAATTACATAAGCAGGGTCATTCCTGGAGTTTATCTTTTCACTATGGAAAGTGCATGGACTTTTCTCCATTCTCTACTGTGTGTAACCTGGCTGTTCTGGGCCACCTCAGCCTGTCCCAGGTGCCTGTTCCTGTCCTTCTATACCCTTTTCACATTCCAGGGTCACTGACATCAGTCCTCACTTCTCTGAATGTGTTCTAATGAGCTGATCTGATACCAGGCAAGCAGCTACGGTTTGTTGTGACTTGTAGTGTTTCTTTTCTTGGATGACCTACATTGATATAAAATATGGTTTTTAATCATATCCAGAGAAGCTGGCAAACAGTAAACATTTCAATTATTATAGAACACTGAAAGAATTAACACATAAGGGGCCAGTGAGATGGCTTAGTGGGTATAAAGGTGCTTGGAGTCAGGCCTGATGGCCTGAGTTCAATTCCTGACATTGACATCCACACAGTGGAAGGAGGGAACTGGTCCTCAAAAGTATGCATGTGCTTACATGCGTACATACACAAAATAAATAAAAGTTAAAGAATTAACACATAAAATTTAAGCCATTAAAATTATTATTAATTATGAGGTGAGGTGGCTCATTCCTTTTATTAAACATTTTTATTTATATACATTCTTATTTATTTTTATATGTATGGGTGTTTTACCTACATTATATCTGTGTACCATGTATGTGCTTGATGCTCCAGGAGGCCATAGTAAAACATAAATAAGCCTGTGCTGAGGTACATGTCTGTAATCCCAGAACTTGGGAGGCAGAGGCAGGCAGACTTCTGAATTCCAGCCAGCCTGGTCTACATAGTGCGACCCTGTCTCAAACAACAACAAAACAGTAAGACATTAACCAAAAGGACATCAGACACTCATGAAACACTAGTTGGGATTGCTCGGTGCTTCGTATGTTTACTTTGTTTATCAGCATTCAGCAGAAGTGGGGAGACCTCATTAGATAAGTAAGAAGCTTCAGTTTCAAGCTGATGTAATGTTTTCAATATTCCTACCCTAAAATGCTGATCTTTTCTGTGCCGGTGGGTGAGAAACCAGTTGGCTCCTGGAAAGAACTGAGACCAAGAAACCCATGTCAGAGCCTCAGCGCATTTCAGTCCACACTTAAGATGGGAAAAGAGCCACAGGAGCTGTGTGCTTTAAAAGGATGGTATCATTTAATTCTCTCAGTAAGAAGGAGATATCGTTTTTATTTCAAGAGAGCCAGCCAGGTGTGGTGTTTCATGTCTGTAATTCCAGTGCTTACGAAGTAAAGCCCAGAGGATTAGGAGTTCCAGGCCAGTTTCAAATACATAGCCAAGTAGATGCCAGTCTCCGCTACATGATCTCAAAAATAAATAAATATATAAATAAATAAAAATTTAAAGAATGAATAAATACTTTTTTTTTTTTCGAGACAGAGTTTCTCAGTGTAGCCCTGGCTGTCCCAGAAATCACTCTGTAGACCAGGCTGACCATGAACTCAGAGACCCGCCTGCCTCTGCCTCCCAAGTGCTGGGATTTTTAAAGGCACGTACCACCACTGCTTGGCATATCTGTTTGTCTAGGAAAGGCATGCGCAACCACACCTGGCCATAGATAAATAAGTTAAATAAATAAATAGATAGATAAATAAACAAAACCTGGTGCGGTGTCACGTGCCTGTAATACCGAGGCTTGGAGATCGAGGCTGGAGGATCAGGAGTTCAAGGTCATCCTCACCTACAAAGACAATTTCCATTAAGACCCTTGTCTCAAAAACATACGGACAGACAGGCCGACTGGCTGACTGGCGGACAAACAAAGCCTGAGCTCAGTGGCTTGCCAAGATGGCCCTGGCAGTAAATAGAGCAGGTAGGCTTCAAATCCAGTCTGTCCATTCCTAACCCACGCGAACTGAACTTCACAGCCCGCGCCTCCCTAACTACCCGGCTCTCTGCTTCCAGGCTCTCCGCACACCGGTCGGACCGCCTGCTGAGCTCAGCACGAGCGACTCAGCCTGGCCCAGCACCGAGCCGGTGACCTGCGGGAGCGGGCGCCTCCTCCCAGCCGTGCTCCCTCGGCAGGTCACACCTTTCCCGCCCGCAGCCCCACGCGCGGCCCGCAGCGAACTACACTTCCCGGCAGGACGCGGCGCGCGCACGCGCACGGGGGGCCTCCGCCATGGCGACAGTGCTGTCCAGGGCGCTCAAGCTCCCGGGTAAGGAGTCTGCAGCCCGGCGACCACCCCGCCGTGGAGGCCTGGCCTGGGGAGAGGGGCAGGCGAGGCGAGGCAGGCGCGGCGGGGCCTGGCTGTTAGCCGGGAGGGCTGCAGCGCCCGGGGGACGGGAAGGGGCGCCCGGGTGTGGGTCGGGGACCGGGGACGGGAAGGGGACACTTGGGGACTCCCGGGGTAGAGACTGCTGGAGGCGCGCGGGGCCGGGTCGGGGCGGAGGGGCGCGACGGTGACTGTCAGGTCCCAGCGCGTGTCGCCGCGGTCTCCCAGGGAGGGCCGGCCACCGGAGCATCCTTCCCTGAGCTCCGGGACTCGCTGCTGCTATCTGGGGTTGGACCAGAGGGGGAGCCGGGGGCTGCAGGACTGTAAGTGAGTGGCCTGGGCGGAACAGCATCTCCACTCGCTGACAGCCGCCTTGCAGCAGAGAGCTAGCCGAGGCAGGTGTTCCCCTTCCTCCTGTGTGGAGGAGGAGGGCGAAAAGATTAGGAAAATGGCTAATTGAATCGCACGGGGTCACACGGCAGGGGGCTGTGCTGTTTGAAATGCGCTGTTTTAACCAAAGCGCATTTATTCTGCCGTTAGCAAAATTTGAACATTCAGAGTTTTCGAAAAATTTGTTGCTCTACTTAAACATTTAAACACCAAGTTGTAAGCATTTATCGGCTGATCTCCTAAGAGCGGAAGCAGTTGCTTTCCCCGGCATGTTAAAAAGGGTATCTCCGATGCCCAGCTTGAGGCTATTGGTGGGGCTCAGGGCCCTTGTTCTCCAAGAGTTTCTAGTCTGCTACCTTGAAACCAGCCTGGTGTCTTAGCTGACTGGAGACTTCATGTCTTTAGATCTTTTCCCCTTTCATGGGCCGCTTGGAACACTGGAAAGAACATCGATAAGATCTATCTTGGAATGTGTACATAATACTGAAATTAAAAGAGACATGTTTTCCCTGCAGGATTCATTTACTCTGAAGAAAGTACTACCCCACCCCACCCCCCGCCGTTTGCATGCTGTCAAAGGCATAATTAAATGACAGGCACTTTTAGCTTTTTTATTTGTTTTGGAGTCCTTGTTTTATTTCAGCATAGATGATTGTTATTCTCTGAGAATAAAGCTGCAGAAAGGGGGTGTACTTCATGGGCAGAGTGCTTGCTTAGCACACAGCCAAGCAAGTTCAATCCCCATCAGTGGAAAAAAACGTTATTAATATTCAAATGGAGGGGGAACAAGAGAGAATAATGAGATGAATATAAGCAAAACACAATACTATACGTGTGTAAAAATGTAATGACCCTGTCTCGAAAAAACCAAAAAAAAAAAAAATGTAATGAAACCGGCATTTTGTATACTATTCAAAATAATATTTAAAAAAAATAATTGGAGAATATCTTGCCTGATCACTTCTGTGTCTTCATTCAGAGAATGTGGTGCACACAGTATACTCCTCGGTGTATTGGGTTGTAGTTATTTGGTCAACCGACAGCATAAAGTGGAAGATTCCTGTGTTTGGAAGGCAATTTGGCCCTGAGGGCTGAGCTATGATCAATACTAAGGCCTGCATACAGATCTATATGCCCTGCTCTGTATGTGATGTGGATTTTTTTTTCTTTTTTGCTTGTTTTTCTCCTGGTCTTTCCTTGGCCCTTTTTCTTCACTACCCAAAATATAATTTGTGGTTTTTATATTAGGTAGAAGTTGCTTTCTCAAAGCTGTTTTTGGATACCTTGTAATTGGGGCTTCGAGGCTGCGGTCCTGGTTGTTACCGTGCTGTGTTTCCTTAGGTAACCCTCTTAGAACTTTTCTGTGTGGGAGAAGTGAATGGAACTGTGGCTAAGACCAGGAGACGGCTCTGGATTTGACTGGATCTGTTTTGATTTGACTTCTGTGTTGAGGATCTGATCCAGGGTGTTGTAAATACATGCTAGGCATGCAAGCTACTGGCTGAGCCTCATCTGCAGCCAGGCTCCAGACTCACTTGGTTAGCTGTTTTACCCCTATAAGCTTCAGTTTCCTCATCTGTAATAAATAGTGTTGTTCTAGAACATTCTCTACATGCCACACACACTGTGTTGCATGTTTACCTCACAGGGTTATTTGGAATGGTAAAAGAGATAGTTGTACTTAGGAATGTAATTATCTTCTCACACATTAGCTATTGTTTTGGTCATTAGTAGCTTCTGGGGGGGGGGCGGTACACTCTGAAGGCCTGATCCAGCAGTGAGTGACACAGGGACCGAGCTCTGCTGGGGATGCATTTCATCATCTAAAACCCTTTCACTGAGGTCACAATGGAAAAGCATTTGGCTCTCATGCCTGGCATGAGGTTAATAAGTAACAGAGGGACAATATGACATTCATAAAGCCTGTAGGACGGCTTATCTCTTAGGTATATGTTTTTTTAGTTTTAAAGTTAGAAGGTCAAACACTGAAGGGACTGTTGGAGTACAGTGTTATTGTTGTGGTTTGTTTTATGATACGTGACTTCGAGGACTGTATCTCTAGATAAACTAAGCCATATTGGGAATTATTTGCATTGGTACAGGCACATGTCCCATCACATGGGTGGGTTACAGTGTAAGCTGAGGTATAGGATGTCACAGGGTAGCATATGTCTCAGTGTATTTCCCTAAGCACACCTGGGCATAACTCAGTCGCATCCCTTCATAGGAATGCTTCCTCTGCACATTTGGGAACACTGTTGAGTCACTGTCTCAGTCTCCTAGGAGGAAAGCAGTGACTATGAAGAGCTTTTCTATCAATGTGTTATGAAACCAGTGTCTTCTCTTATATTCTTTGCAGACATAAAAGAAAAGTTATATAAGTGTGTGTGTGTGTGTGTGTGTGTCTATGTGTGGGTATGTGTGGGGGTATGTGCATGTGTATGAAGGAGCCCATGGTGGCTAGAGGCAGAGGATCTCCCTGGAGCTAGAGGAACAGGAGGTTGTGAGCTGCCTCATATGTGCGCCAGGAATTAAATGCAGGTCCTCTGCAAGAGCAGTGCATACTCTTGACTACTAAGTGATTTCCCAGCCCCTCTTTGCAGACATTTCACTGACTGGAAACCTGGGTTTGGGAAGAGGGCTCAGCAGGGAAGAGCGGTTGCTGTCCAAACCCGAGGCTCTGAGTTTGAATTCCTAGTACCCACATAAAAAGCTGGGCGTGGCTACACATGTGCCTATAACCCCAATGCTGTAGGGGGTAGAGGCAGGAGGATTCCTGGGACTTCCTGGCCACTAACCTAGCTCCAGGTTCAGTGTGAGATCTTTTTTCAAGAAAATAAATTGGAGAGCAATGTAACAGGACATCTGCCGTCCTCCTGGCATGTGCATGGGCACATACATCTGCATACACATTGTACATACACCACACACACACACACACACACACACACACACACACACACACACACACACACCCATACCACTACGAATACCTATACACCATGTATACACACACCACAATACATACATACATATATACATGCACACACATACCTTACACATGTGTAACACACATCACACACACATATACATCACATACAGGCACACCATAAACACACACATGTACAGGTGCTTGTGTACACACACACACACACACACACACACACACACACACACACACACACACACACACCCCTGGGTCCTCACCAAAAGCAACAGATTCAGAAAGAGTGAGTGCTCGGACCCTGGACTATGAAGCACAGACTCATGTCTGGTCTGAGTGTGGCCTAGGGCTAGTCAGGGGCTTCTTGTTCTGCTGTTTTGTTTTAGTGAATAGTCAGGAAAAAAACAAAACAAAACAAAACAACCTTGCATAGTCAGAACTTGCAGTCTGTAATAACTAAACCAAAGTTTGTTTTCATACTACCTGTGTTAATGTAAGTTTGAATAGTTATCATGCTCCAAAGGTTGGTCTAGAATTGGCCCTAATCTCCTGAGGTCTTTAAAGGCACCAGCCAATGATAGCTCTGTGCTCTGGTGTGCTTGTCTTCATACTTCAGAGGCCCTGGACTTTATACCGTAAGTTCTTCCTGTGATGACTTTGGAGACACGGTCCTGCTACTCCCTCCCCACTGTCCATGTAGCCTAGGCTGGCCTGGAACTCACTGCACAGCACAGAAGGACCTTAAATGCCTGATTCTCTTGCCTCCACCTCCTACATGCTGTGATTACAGGCATATGCTACCACACCTAGGTGAAGTTAGCCTATTACAATTTTTTTAAAAAATACATTTAGTGTGTGTGTATGTGTGTGTGTTGGTGTGGGGAGGCAAGGGGCATGCACACTTGGCACACATGTGGAAGTCAGAGGGTAGCTTGCAGGAAGGGAGTTTATGTCGTGTGGTCCTGGGGATTGAACTCACGCTGTCACATTGGCACCAACTGAGCCATCTCTGGCCATTTCCCAGACTGTCCTCAAACTCTTGACCCTCCTGAATTACATGCTCCACCACACCAGCTGCCAGTTTGACTTTTGTCTGTCACCGTTAGACATGATCCTTCACCCTAAGCCTGGATGCTGTGCCATTCCTTGCCATCCTTGAAGTCCTGTACTTTTACTAGAATGTTCAGTGATGATTATTCTCTGTGTACCCTTTATTCTGCAGTTAGGTTTGGCTTTATTGTGGTCTCTCTCCATCTTTCTTTTGCGTCTCCTTTAAGTACTGCATGATGGTCCAATTTTTTCCCTCCAGTTATACATATCCTGTATCAGTCAGTTTCTTAGGGTTCTTAGTGTTTTTATTTGGTTTGAGTTTTATGAATACCTGTGTGGGTTTGTGCATGTGACTGCTGTGCCTATGGAGGCCAGAAGAGTGCGTCAGATTCCCCTGAAGCTGGAGTTACAGGCAGCTGTGAGCTGTGAGCTGCCTGAAATGGATCCTGGCAACTGTACTTGGGTCACCTGAAAGAGCAGTGTGTGTGCTTAACCATAACCATTGAGCCATTTTTCCAGCCCTGGTTTGAGTGTTTTGAGATGGATCTCTTTTTGAAGA